GTGTATGTGACTGTCGGAAAGCAAAGACTTATGAAGCAAGTTCTGGCGAAATCCGCATGTTATCACGTCCCAGTTTAACTTGGCTCGATCGCATCATGTGGTTTCCCCACATCCGGAATTCCCGTGCGGTTTCCCCAACCCCTCCTCACGGCTCCCCCTTCTGCAATGATCAAACTTACAGCGACCTCGGAGTCCGCTGACCCCTGGGGCCTGACAATTTTACAGCTTTAAGTAGTACTGTGTTTACATTTTTGAGCCGTCTACTTTCTCCGGCCTGCTCTGTGAAAATAGACCCCGCTAAAGCCCCATACTTTCCCCGAATGGTCGACTTGTCAAATGACCCCCTTGATCAATATAGCACCGGGATGCATAACGGAACCTAGGAGGCCCTTATCACTCCGGGGGAACGGCTGAGAGCAGAAACAGGTGAGGGAGGTGTCATATGCATGTGGTCCAGAAAGGGGCCTGTGACCATCCTTGATATCTACCCCACAGACGCATGTGTATCTTCTCAGACTCTTATGAAATTAGAGCAATAAATATACACACCGAACCTGTGGTCCTCCTAAATTTAAAATAAAGTATGTAACAATTTTGATACAACCCGCTCAAGCCATCTCCTCCATCACCGCCGTGTAGCTCTCCTCTGCATTGAGCTTACGCTCGTACGTGCGGCGCCCTTCGTGCATCACGAGACTTAGCGCCGCAAGAGAAAGAATCACGGACAGGTCGCTCAAGCTCAGCGCTGCGGTCTGGAAGATCCGCTGCATGAACGGCACATACACGAGCGCGAGCTGCGTCAGCGCCGACACCGACACTGTGCCCACCAGCATCTTGTTCTGCACCAGCCCGCATCCCAGCCCGCGGTTCTGCACCGCCGAGACCAAATCCAAGAAGACGAAGCATGTAAATGTCTGATGGGAAGGAAGGAAGCAAGACGTCAGTTCATGAATGTAAGACAAGCAAAACTGATAGGACGCCGGAGGAGATCAACAGGCGTAAATGAACAGCCGCCGCGAATCACGGGCCCCACCCAGGAATATCACGATCGCATGAGGGAATGAGCTACTCACCATGGTCTGCTCCCGCCGCGACATATTGTCGTCCTCGAGGGCGAACACGTAAACAAAGAGGGTCCCGATGACGATAATCGAAGCCGAGAACAGGACACGGAAAAGCAGCCGCTTTGTAATAATCGGAGCGTTCTTCTTGCGCGGAGGACGCTTCATGATAGCTGGATCCACGGGGTCGACGCCCAGACTTTGACTCGGGGGTCCTAGGAAAGCAAAATTAGCCCGAATCTCGCCGCGGGAGGGAGAGTAACGCACCGTCCATGAGAATGTTAATGAACAGGATCTGCATGGCGTTCAGGGGGTTACTAAGGCCCAGCATCGTGCTGAGGGTGATGAGTGTCAACGCGGCAGCAGCTGTGCTCAGCTGGAACGCCAGGAAGTTCTGGATGTTGTGGAAGATCGCTTTGCCTGTCCGAGGGGCAAGACATCAGTACGCAACGAGACGTCGTGTCCCACGCAAGCACTCGCCTTCTTCAACGGCAGGAAGGATGGTACTAAAGTTGTCGTCGACCAGAATGACATCTGCAGCTTCCTTTGCAACGTCTGTGCCGCTTTTCCCCATAGACACACCAATGTCAGCCATCTTAAGCGCAGGAGCATCGTTCACTTGGCGCGAGTTGCCGCCAACGTCAGCGTCTTCGCAAAGCCAAACAACAAAAGAAGAAAACCCACCTCCGTCACCAGTCATAGCCACGACCTGCCCCCTAGCCTGAAACGCCTCCACTATCGCCATCTTATGCCTCGGTGTCGTCCTCGCAAAGACACTAACGCTTCCCACCCTCTCCTTCAACTGGGCCTTCGTCATCAGATCAATCGCTTTCCCCGTCAGGCAATACCCACTCGAATCAGCCCCGCCGCGTCCAACGCGCATCCCAAGCTTCTGCGCAATAGATAGTGCGGTCTGCTCCGAGTCACCGGTAATCATCACGACCTGGACGCCCCCGTTCTGCAGCAACGCGATACTGTCTGCTACGCCCTTCCGTGGAGGGTCCAGCATGGCCTGGAATCCCGCAAACACAAGATTGACCTTCTCCGGCACTCCATTGGGAGAGGGCGATGTCCCACGCGAGGTGGTAGTGCGTGAGGGCGGCCGCTGCTCGTCGGCGCCGCCGAAGCCATATGCCATAGCGAGGACGCGCAGCCCACGGGCGGCGGTCGCGTGGGCCTTACTAAGGATCATGTTGCGTGTATTCGTGTCGAGGGCGGGCGTTGAGTCGTCGTTGACGTAATAGAATTTACACCGGTCGAGGATGGCTTCTATGGAGCCTTTGATGTAGTACATCTCCCGTGAAGTGTCATTGACGCTGTTCACACCGTTGGTGGCATCGCGGTGGTACCCAGAAACAGCCATGTATTTTTGTTCTGAGTTGAAAGGACGTTCAAAGACACGTTCGAATTGCTATGGAAGAGTGTTTGTTAATGGGATATTGATGGAATTAATACAAACAGACATACCGCCCGGCGATCAGGAACTCCGAATACATCGAGAACATTGAGGAGGGCGACATCGGTTGACTGTCCCACATAGTTGCCATCTTCATTGCGGACTAAAGATGCATTGTTGCAGATAGCACCGATGTCCACAGTCTTTCTGATAGCAGGTGAGAGTGCAGCCGTATATGTAGTGGCGTTGGGGTCAAGAGTGATCGTCTCGTCAACAGCGTAAGCCTCCGTGACCGTCTGGTCATTCTTTGTTAGTGTTCCTGTTCAATATTTAGACCTTTCCCAGTGTGTTCGTCATGCACAGCATACCAGTCTTGTCAGAGCAAATGACGGACACGGAACCGAGCGACTCGACAGAATGCAATTTCTTCACGATCGCTTTCCGTTTCGCCATGCGCAAGACGCCGAGGGCAAGTGTAACGGTCGTGACAATCGGAAGACCTTCAGGGATGGCAGCGACAGCGAGAGAAACTAGAACGCAAATAAGCGAGGAAGTGATGACTGGGGCACTGGTTCGTACCTCCTATAGTAAACATTTCCAGCCATGATCTCTGCTGTAGCACCCCAATCAGACAGATTACGCCAATCACACCAAACGACATCAAAGACAGCTTCTGGGCCAGCTCGTCCATGCTGAGCTGCAGAGGTGTCCGCTTCTCCTCGACCTAAATGGGAGGTTGAGACTTTTACTTCAATGCGAATATTCAAACATACATCCTGCATCATAGAAAAGATGACACCAAACTCTGTTGCCGTTCCAGTTGCAATAACTACTCCAGTACCACGACCTGACGAGGAATAAATAAAACATTCATGAACCTGGATATCCTGACGTACCGTTTCTAACCAAAGTGCCCATGTACGCGACACATGTTCGGTCGGCGAGAGCCACTGGATCGCTGTTCATGAGCCCTTGAGATGTGTCGTACATACATGTCTCATGGTTCTTCCTGCGGGCTTCAGTCTCGCCGGTCAAACTGCTCTCATCAATTTCTAGATCTATGCAAGACACGATGCGGATGTCGGCGGGAATGCGGTCGCCAGTGGAGAAGGTAACAATGTCTCCAGGTACGAGTTCGTTGGCAAGGACGTGCGTGGTCTGGCCTTCACGTAGGACGTGACAGTGATGGGGAACCAGCTTGTTGAGCGCCTCTAAGCTCTTCTCCGACCGTCTTTCTTGAATAAAGCCGACTAATATAACGGGTGAGAATGAGTGGTAACCGAGGGGGGGCATATCTTACCAGTCAATACGATTAATACAGCCACGGTAATACTCACCGCGTCATCTATATTTCCCATGATTGCGCTGACAGTTGCGCTTCCGCAAAGCAACAGAATTAGAGGGCTCTCGTATATAGTTTTTGCAAACTTGAGAAGAACGGGTTCCGGGGTAGATACCGTGAATTCGTTGTAACCATGTGTTGCAAGAAGACTTGTAATATCCCGATGGAGGAGGCCATGTTCGGCGGATGTCCGGAAATGAGAAATGGTATCCTGAATATAGGTGAGCTTCATCGTAGTAGGAGGTAATCTACATAACGCACTTGAACAGAGGTATGAGCAAACTGGGCAGAAGCAGTTGGGGCTTGTGAATCTCTTTGGGAGGGTGGTGAAACGCGTCCATTCTCCACCAACGGCTCGTAATCACCCCGTCGTCCCGTCACGTATGCGATCGCCCTCGACCACAACGTCTGAGCCTCGGCGTTGACTGCGTGAGCCAGATGTGCAGGCGAAGCGAGCGCAGCCGCTTCGGAAGGATGCCTACGTAGAGTTGTACTGTACGCAAAGTGGGCATCTGCGTCGGCCGTGGGGCGTAGTCGTGCGCGGGTATCACCAGAAAGTAAAGGAAAATAAGCCGAAGCAGGTGGTGACGGGCTCCTTCCGGGTTGGTACATTTGTCTGTGAGCTGCTGAAGAGCTGGAGGCCGTTGAATCGAGTGGTAGCGCGGAGGTTGTCCGCTTTTTGCGTTCGCCCATTCCAGATGAGGTCGTTGGTGGTATCATTCAACAGTACAAGAGTCTGTAAAGGGTCCTAGCCCAATTCGAGAGGTTCACTCGACAGATAACCTGGTCTTGGGACCAGCCGTTGTAATTTGGAGGGCACTAGGATGGTTTCGTCGTTGCTGGTCGTTGACCAGTATATTCGGTCGACACGTCGTGTTTACTCACCGCTTTGGACTCAAACATGTTACATCAACCCCATTTATCCGATGTATAAGTATCGTCAAACGCTGAGTAGAAACGCAGGGACTTGGGAAGTAGTGGGGAAGGATATACAGCATTTAAAAGTGGCCAGGTACTTGAGGGTTACGTTTGTCCCTCAAAAAAATCTATTTCAAGACTCTTGACACGCGAACGGACTTTGTGGCGCGTCATCTCCAAGGTAAAGAAATTTGGCAGAGATGAAAAGAGAAAATAAGTGGCATTAAGAGTCGCCAATTGCATGTTCACGCAAGAGAGCAAAAGGCAATCCACTCAGACAAAATGGACACACCCGGAATTGAACCGGGGACCGCCCGCAAACGCTAATGCTAAGCGGGCGTGATAACCAACTACACCATGTGCCCATGTTTCCATCCACTACGCCTATCAGAGTTGGTGTAAAATTTTCTACGTGTTACGCAAAGACAGGCGCAGGACCTGAGGGGGTTGTGACCAGATGAGAGCGAAGGACAGCCAGAGTTCAACTTCTGAAACAAGTTGCGAATCTGATGTTGTGAACGAGTGCAATGTAGTATCCGTCCATCGGTGCTCGGCAGTAAGTTGGTAGAGCCACTCGTAATTTTCTAATAGGGCGCGCACGAAAAACAAAAATGAGCGTTCGAATCGGACCGGACCTGACCCATGCATGATGCAAGTTGACAAGTGAACGCGCAATTGGATATCAAGAAAAAATCAAGAAACAAGTTAGGCTTATAACAGTGGTGAGAGAGGTAGTCCTTAGTGAGATGGCCTGTTCAGGTAAGTGGCGATTGAGTGGCGATCATTACAAACCATCAGATTTTGACTTCGGTGTCAGTTTCTCAATGAGAGAGCGAGACCAGGAGTCGCATCCCAACGCACCTACTTAGTCCTGGCTAGTGGAAATGAACATGCAGCTGTATCGGAGCACTGGTTGCGAACCCTTTAGGGACGACGAATGACGCGCGTCAAATGGCCTATGGCGAAACCACTGTCGTAGTTCCGTCTTCCTCGAGGCCACAAGACTAATTACTTATGTTTTTCATCATCTGACCCCCGAGAAGTCTTTCCGGGTTGCGCAATACGCGCTCAGCAATTGACGAAATCCAGTTCAGTCTTGGACATGACTCGGAGCTTCAATGGAAGGTGGGAGAAAATCTCGTCCTCGTGTGCTCATCATGCGTTGAATATGGTGCTCCTTTTGCTCCTTTCTGAATGTATCTTTGCTGCGATATCTCACTGGGCCTCTGTCATGACTATATCTCCTCGTCACCTGCTCTTCGCTCCAAACAGTTGTCCCTCGCTTTCAGGCGCATCGCAATTTCCGGCCCAATGTTCGGGGTTTGTGTAAGCGACACTCTTCAGGACGCCGGAGCTCCAAACAGTTATCCCTCGCTTTCAGACGCATCGCAGTTCCCGGACCAATGTTCGGGGTTTAGGAGTATATCACTCTACACCACCGGTCATTGGGCGAGTGTCGCCAAGCAATTGACTTCCCTTTACAAACCCAAAGTCATCTGCTATACCATGTGCGCGCTCGACGAGCAATTTGCGAGCTCTGAACAGTCCATTCGTGCGAGTGTCCATTGCTTATTCCTAACATTCCCCGTCAGTTTCAAGCACTGTCTTCCCAATCAGTTCAGACGTGGCATCATGTTATCGACGTCGCCTCGTCATCTGAGAGGAATGTTCCTTCGCTTGCATGGAGCCTCTTGGCTCGTATAAAGCCTGACCCACCGTCGCGATGTTTGACAAGTACTTCTTCAATGGTCTTGCTTCGAAACTCGCTTTTGGCTGCTTCTTATGGGCTTATCGCCTTCCGTGGCGCGGTAGCCCTTGTCTTTGGGCCTATCGGTATGGATCGGCCTGCACCCGCCGGTGGATCTATCGCGAATGACCAGCCGCCCAGCACCTTCTTCCAAGGCTTTTCTCCCCCATTCCCCACGAACGATTGGTGGGTGGGCTTCGCCGCCGGAACTGGTAACGCGTGAGTTGCATTTTACTAGCCTCATAATATGTATACAATTTTTGGGCAGTGTCGTTGGCGGGCCTTTTCCGTATCAGAGTAGTTTGTCCCCTACTGCGATACAATTTGGAATATCCGCTTCTCGGGACTTTGACGGGACGTCCATTCATCAACCTTCCCAGACAGACTGGGCTGTCGGGTTTGTGGAGCACAACGGCGATGTCAGAAATCACAAGGCGCTGTCTTGGGTGAGACCGAACAATTCTATCTTACGATGACCTCACTAATTTATTTTATGAGGATTCCCAATCAGTCACGGTACAATACTTCACTGGATCGAGCACCATGACCAGTTACCTTGTCCCGGGATCCCCATACCTCACCTTTTCCTTTTCGGGGGCGACACCGAGGCTCACTAGCGTTAATGGCGCCATCGCATCTTTTGCCGGAAGTGCGCTCGGAAATGGCGCTAGTGGTGAGAAAGATCATTTTACGATCTCCGAGTAGCGTCTAACATGGCCTCATAGTCACCGCTACTGGTACCAAATTCCAGGTCGTCAATGGGGCTGGCACTTATATCATCTATTCTCTGTCTGGCGCTCTCAGTCTCACTGCTACCAACGCTGGCACAATCAATGCTGGGGCGAAATTCAATGGTGTTTTACGGGTGGTAAAGGTAAACGCTCCTGGACACCAAGCCCTTCTTGACCAGTACTCTGCAAATTATCCAACGGCTGTCGCTACCGACTACGATTTCTCCGGGAACGTTGGTACGCTTCGCTTCACCTGGACGGTAACTGGAAACGCGGCAAACCTCTTGATGTTGACATGGCCTCATCATCGGTGTGTCTCATATATACCTTTTCCAAAAAGTTCCCACTCAGATTGCCCCGTAGTATTAAGTTGCAAAACCCCAACTTCCCAGCGACGACTTCTCTCTCGTATCTCACTACCAAGGGATACATGTACCCAGCGATTGGAAACGTTTGGAACTTGCGATATGACCTCTCCACAATCACTTGGAATGCACCTCGTACACCAGATGCATCCTGCACGGCGAACCTGATTGCCGGTCTTGAATACGAGATTGCGAATCTCCCTGCGGTGACGATGCCCGGCGACTTTTATTTCTTTGGTGGACACGTTGCAATGGTGTCTAGATTGGCGTAAGCTCCGTTTGTCCTGGTTTAGATCTTTTTTGACACATCTCCAGGTTGATCGCTGAACATGTCGGACGAAATGATCTTGTACAGCCCGTCATTGACTATCTCAAGGGCATGTTTAGCTATATGGTTCGCCTCGCTTTTTACGCGTGTTATTTCACTTTCTTTATTGACCGACTTCACGTGCAGTTCAATTCGGCATCCACCGCGGTTCCCGCGTACGAGACTGGGTGGGGAGGTATAATCAATCGCGCGGGATACAACAACGTGTGGGTCGATTATGGCAATGGATACTACAACGATCATCACTTTCATTACGGATATTTCCTTGCTGCAGGAGCTGTGATAGTAAAGTACGGACATTAGTTTCATTCGCGAACTTGATTTTCTAATCCACGGCTCTCAGGCATGATAGCGAGTGGCTGAGCACATTTGGGCCGAGCATGAAATGGTACCTCCGCGATATCGTCAACCCTTCAAGGAACGATCCGTACTTCCCTGTTACGCGCTGCAGGGATTGGTTTGCTGGTCACTCATGGGGTATGTACAGCTCTCTTTTTGGCTCACTATTCAATCTCATGGAGCTGTTATCTTTGATAGCTTCGGGCATCGCCAATGGTGCTGGTCCTCGTGATCAAGAGTCCGTCGGAGAGGCAGTCAATGGCTACTATGGGGCCTTGCTGTGGGCCGATGTTACGGGAAACACCGACATAAAGAACTATGCACGTTTATTGATTGCGTCGGAACAACATGCTGCTCAAGTGTATTGGCATCTTTATCCCACGGCTAGCGCCACAAGCAGGGACCAGCCCTATCCCGAGCAGGGTCTTCGTAATCTCGTTACAATTGGCAATGTCATGGACTTTCAATCGGGTGCATGGCTGTAAGATGTTCTCCATATTTACGGTCAGGTCGCCTGACGTCCTCGTTTGTAGCTTCTGGGGCGCTCAAAAAGTCGAAATTGCTGCAATCCAGATTCTTCCTGTCACACCCATCAACGAATACATGTATGACGCAGCATGGGCACAAGCTGTCCACGACTACACTCTCCCGGAATTAAACGACCCCACCATTGGCGACGAATGGAAATCCGTTATCTATCTTGCTTACTCTCAAGCCAACCCGGCTGCCGCGGCGCAACTATCTTCTTCACTAACCTCATGGGGAACGGGAAACTCCTTCAGCAATCAACTATACTTCCTGTCCACTCGTGCAGGAGCTTCGAATGTTTGCGCTTCGGCCCCCTCCAACCCCGTTGGCACATTTTACATCCAGTCAGCCACCAGCAACGCCTACGTTGCATCATCAACTCTTCCTGACCTTGTCGCTTCTACCACTTCCCAGAGTTCGGCTGCCAAATTCAAGTTTACGTTTGCTCCTAACGCAGGGACCATTTCGGCGCTATCGACGAACAAATTTGTCACCGCAGACATTAGCGGTACATACACCATTTCTGCAGCCCGTGACGTCGCATCGACGTGGGAGATTTTTGTGATACGCCCCAAGCAAGGCGCTTCGAGTGGCGTTTATTCAATCCTTGCTGGATCCAACAAGGAATATCTTACGTTGGGAAGTAATGGAGCGTTGATCAATAATGGAGCTACTGAATCGAGTAGCGCGGGATTCAGACTTGTTGCTGCTTAATCTGCTCGAATTGATCCATGGAGTTCTCTCTACATTCTCCAAGATAATATTGTATCGCACCTGATGATTAAATCTTATGACGTGACTTCTTCATTCACCCACACACTTAGGCTTCCACTCCTTTCGGATTCCCTTTTTGGCTTGGTACACGGATTGGAAGCTTTCAGCACGCTCACGTTATACTGTGCTATCCATTTGTTTTAGAATGTCGGGCCCGAGGCGTCAAACCTTCGGCTATAGATTTTGACAACCAGCGTTCGGGTCAAAGTTCAGTTGCGGTTACATCCATCACCTGTCGGACTCTTTGTTGCCATGCAACGTCGACAATCTATACAATGGATAAGCAGGCTTAAGGTTTCAAGCGGTCCGTTGTATTTCTGTGGCGAACCCGCGGCTGCAACCTATGCTATGAATACTGTCAACACGAGGCGAAGACGTCCAGACTTGAACCCCACGTCATGCGTGTCTACCCCGTGTTTAAACAGGACTTTTCTCTCACCTGGGCCTGAAGCAGTAATGGAAACTCCTTTCAGGATGATCAAAAGGCACGCAAACGCGCAGACACATTGCGATCTGTCATGCATCCCGAAATCATGCCAGTCCGTACTTCCGG